TCATTGTCAAAGACAATGTCATAGAAGGTGAGGACTAGAATCTGATATCAGATTTTATAATTTTATGGTTAAAACTGAAAAGATCTAATTCTATGGAAGGGGAGAATCTGGATGAGGACACACCACTCTTTAATGGGATTTTTCTGTAAAGGGAAGAGGAGGCCTGGGGTGGCAGGTATAGGGGAAAGGGATCCGGAGAGAACTTTTATTTGCTTTGCTGGTTGGCTTTGCAGCCAAGAGAAAGAAGCCCATTTGTAGGCTGATAGGAATGACTGAGTAAAGAAGAAAAAGTGGACAATTGCCGAAACAAGTTTCTTGAGTAAGGGAGAAGTCAGGATCCAGTGCACAAGTGAGGGGTTAATAAAGACGGAACCACAGATCAGTCATCCAAAAATCAAAAACGGGAAAGTAGACCACTTTGTCACAGATGCAGGTGGTGGGCCCAAGTGAAGGTGAGGATCGTAGTCCTTCTTGGGATGCTCCTTTTGTTTTTTTTCCTCAGTGAAACTGAAAGCCAGATAATTATCTGGGAGCACTGATTGTGGAAATTTTCAGAGTGAAAATTATGGTACTATTGGCTAAGGAATGGGAGATGACTAAATTAAGAATTTCTGACAACTACAGGGGAGCAGCATTACGGGCCACTGGGGGGTCATGAACAGGTATGTGCCTAGGCAGTTATGTGCCTTGCTCCTGCTAACTTCAATGGTAAGAGAGGAGGGATGAGTAAGTACAAATTGAACTTAACTAAAGTTGTTCAGCAAAAAACATTACAACAAAACATGAGACAGAAGAGAGGTAAGAATGTTTGCAAGGGAGTGATGTTGATGACTAACCTGGAAATGTACACTGGACAAGGTGGATGGCGAAGAGTAAAGGAGATGAGCAGGACTCAAAAGGCGGTCAATGGATTCCATTTTTTGATGGTTGGAAGGATTATTGGAACTGAGGTGGTAGAGGAAGAGCACTGAAAGAATATAAGCTGATGTGTTAGAAAGAAATGCTCAGAATTGAGATTGAAGATAGGTTGCAGTTCTTAACAAGAAAGAAGGACATGAACATACAGAGAGAAAATAGAGAATGATTCCTGAGGAACTGGAAAGATTGTCTTCGTGGATATGGAAATCAACAAGYGTTGAGACAAACAGTGCTAGAAAGTGTGACAGAGGGCAGGAGCCGCTGTCTTCCATGAACGAGAGGAAGTGACCTGGGAGGGAGATAAAGACAGCCACAAGGGACAGTGAGTGCTGGCATGAAATTCATATGTGAATATTTTTATGGAAGAGAGAAGGAAAATGTACTGGAATTGGCAAAAAGAAAGGAAGAGAATCTGTAAGGTGCCAAATGCCAAGTGCCAATGTCTCGGCTTGGCACAGAATCAC